GGAGAGAAACAGAATGAAAGTTAGTGGGAGAGAAAAAGAGGAGAAAAAAGAGAAATTGAAAGAGGGGGAAATATATAATGAGAAGATAAAGAGGGAGAAAGAGAAATTAAATACGAGAACGTGAGAAAGAAAAAGAACGTAACATTCTTGTTTTTTTTTATTACTCATTACACCACAGGAAAGGCAAAAAGCCACTAAGACACAAGGGTTTAATGAGTGTGAAAGAATATGAGAAAAAGGCAAAAGAAGAGAAAGAGAGAGAGAGAGAGAGAGAGAGAGAGAGAGAGAGAGAGAGAGAGAACAAGAGTTAAGAAGACAAAAATATAACGGTTGTCATTGCATTTAAATTTTTGAAGATCAAATTTGACTGGAAAACCAGAAACCGAAAGAATATTCCACAAGTATGAAAGAAAGAAACTATTAGCATAGGAATAGAGAAAGATGCCTTCCAGAAACTAAGCAAAGTATTAAGAAATGAGAAAATATCTTTCGAAACAAAGAAAAGTCTGGAACTGCAGTGTGTAACATCTAATCTTCACTCAAAGAATTATGGAACTTGGTGGAACTGGAGCTCAGAGGTCTCACTGAAATTAAGGTTTATACAGAGTTTCTTTGCAAAACAAGATAGAGAAAAAAAAAGAAGACAACCCCCCTCACACACACACACACATATATATATATATATATATATATATATATATACTCTATTGTGAACGATAACTGAGGTCAGCATTGAATGGTGCCTTTTGTTTTACACTTATGCATGCTAGCAGGGGCTATTGTGGAGAATAGGTATGTCGAATTTGATTGGCTGAGCCACAAACTCATATCCATACAACTATATATATATATATATATATATATATATATATATATATATATATGAAAATTTCTCCGATCTAATCGGTAGAGAAGACAATATTTATGAATAAAAATGACAATAGGAAAACTGGTAATTGCTGACGCGTTTCGTCCGATGTGGACTTTATCAAAGCAAAATACGATAAAAAAAAAAGTCCACATTGGACGAAACGCGTCAGCAATTACCAGTTTTCCTATTGTCATTTTTATTCATAAATATATATATATATATATATTTCATTGAATAATATAGACTTATTATGTTATAATAATCATTTCTAGTTCTCTAATCAGGTTCTTGATGTTAAGTGGAAATTCATCAAGGAAGGTGCCGAAGTTTTTGTTACCCCAAGTACTTTCGATCTCCTCCGAAATCATCCTCTGGGGTGAATTGTGAAGACAGAATCATTGTAACCGTGATCGTTGGGATTGGGATTTTGAAAATACACGTGAACGCGCTCCGTTATAATTATTTTAAATTTTAAATTAATCAGTTTTATCTATGGTGTTGATTTTTTTTTTTTCAAAACATTCTTGTCCACCTCCAGAATACAGGAAAATACTTGTTGCCAACTCCAATATATTACACCATGAAAATAATGAAGCAGAAACCTTCAAATTCTTGAGGCCCTCTATATGAAAAGCAACCAACCAATACTCAACAAAATTTATTATGATTGTAGCAACAACCTTTTGAAATGCATTTGACCAGCATTTAATGCTATTTTGCATTTCTACCATTTCTGGTTACCGCCTTACATTAGGATGCTTGAAATGCAGATAACGCAGTGTTGATAGCAGACAAAGAAAGGAAAACTACAAGAAACCCTACAGAGGGTTAGTGATGGGTCTATGCACTTTTTTTTAATACATACACTGATCATGACTTCAGAAAGCGAGAAGAAAGGACTAAACTTCAATTTCAAAATACAGAATGCATGGTTTTAGCAAAAGAAGCAGTATAACATATAAGTGGAGATACCGAATTCGAACAAGTACAACAGTTTAAATATATAGAAAGTGCTTTAACAGAGAACGAAAAGTGCGATACTGAAATTCGAAGACAAATTGGGATTGCGAAAGATGCCTTGCAAAAACGAAGCAGAACGTTAAGAAACAGAACAATTTCAATATTCAAGAAGAAAAGATTGGTTTTGTTTATTTTGTATTACGGTGCATCAACCTCAATGGGTTATTTAATACCGATAAGATTTTTAGGGTAGTTTTGTATGAATAGAATATGTATTACTTTATGAGAAATGAGTTTGCAGTTCAGTTTTCATTTATGTATTTTTGTAAAGAGCGTTTCTGCCGAGAAAAATGTATTGCTGGTATTTTTACTATAAAAATTATTTTTATACTTTCATAGTGTTTTGACCCCAGTTAACTATTTGTCCATAGCTGGGACCCTAACAGGTGCTGCCACCCCGAGTCAGGGTGAATCTGGAAACAACAGCAATTAAAAGGTGGTTCCGTACTCCTCAAAACATCGAAATTAGGGGCCTTGCTGCCGGATGTAGTTTATCGTCATACCCAGGACGATCGAAGAAAAGAGTACTGAACTGTTATATAATTTTAATCTTCCTATATGGCAGTTAATGCCGCATAGTCTCTTGACAGATGAAGAAGAGAATAAAAGCAACAGAAATATAGTTCTACTGAAGGATTTTAAGAATACCAAAGATCGAATAGGTGAGCAACGACGAAGAGAAAATAGAAACAAAAAGAACAATTACATTTAACACCAGCAAGAGAGAGGTGAAATTTCTCGGGTGTATAATGAGGAAAGGGGTCTTGGAAAATTTGATACTCACAGGGCAGATTGAAAGCAAAAGGAACACAGGTAAACAATGCATGACCTGCTAGGCGAATTGAATGGATGGTGAAGTAGGGTCAGGGAGAAATAGCAAAATAACAACATTTATCCCGAGCTACAGAGGATAGGAAATTGTGGAGAGCAACGGTAGGTAGAGACAGTTGGTGAGTTTTGCAGAATGTATGCAATGTGTTGTGAAGTTTACGTGTGTTTTTTTTTTTATATAAATACCCTGATATATGCACTTTTTTTAAATACATACACTGATCATGACTTCAGAAAGTCGAAAAGGTGGACCATATTTCTTGAATTTTTATTCTGAAATGAACTTCGGAAAATCTCTGACGATGTCATGGTATCGACACAAAATGTCTGATATTCAAAGTGAAAGGAAAATACTATATATATATATATATTAAGAAATGGACAAGGTCTGACAATTTATTTATTAAAGACATTTTTTTTTTATGTTTAACGTTGTTATTTATAGATACAAGTATTTAAGCAAATGCTCTGTTTATGATAAACAGTATTAAATAACATTTACCGGCCTGAATGTCCGAGAAATTTTCATAGAAAATATTCGTTCTTTGACAGGATTCGAACCTGCATCCTATACGGAACCGTCATTTACGCTGACGTGCCTTACCTCTGGGCCACAAAGAACCTTTTCGGTAGACAAGGTCGAATTTACTGATTATAAACTTCAATCTTCCATGAATCTTGTACATTCATAACTGCCCTGGCGTATCAAATGTAAAAAAATTACCTCATATATTAAGAAATGGATAAGGTCCGACACTTTATTTATTAAAGACATTTTTTATGTTCAACGTTGTTATTTATAGATACAAGTATTTAAGAAATGCTCTGTTTATAATAAACAGTATTTTCTATAACATTTACCGGACATTTGTCCGAAAATTTTCATAAAAATATCCTATTATAAACAGAATATTTTCTTAAATACTTTCTCTATAAATTGAAACGTTAAACATAAAAAATGTCTTTAATAAATATATATATATATATATATATATATATATATATATATATATATACACCACAGTTAAAAAGTTTGAAACCACCCCAGAATTATCATGGGATTAACTTGACAGAAGAGTGAAAAAAGAAAAAAAAAAATGAAAAAGTGTTCTTAGTGTTATGGAATCAATTATCAAACTCGTAATTAAAGAAACTTTTGAAAAGAATGCCAAAATTCTGCGCTGCACTAATCAAGAAGGACATTGTGACGAGAACAAAATTTATTCATAAATTTGATATTTTTCTTTATGCTATAATAAAATTTCTAAATATATATATATATATATATCATATCTCACTTTTTTTTTACCGTGTATAATAATTTTCTCTTATTTAAAGTACAAAACAACTACTTTTTGAGGTCAATTTAAAAAAGAATTACCAGCGGTGTCCTCAAACGTTTGTATATATATATATATATATATATATATATATATATATATATATATATACAAACGTTTATATATATATATTTACATTGAAGTTTTCGGCTCTTGTTTTGAAACATGAGACCTCTTATGTCATGAGTTGGAATCATATTTTAAATATATATATATATATATATATATATATATATATATATATATATATATATATAACTCTATTGTACATTTACATTGAGCACTTTAAATTCAACATTGTGTAAATTTGCATTGAGCACTGTTTTGTAAAATAAAATATTAATAGAACAGCGTTCATATATCTTACTGTTCTTTTTTATAATACACACATACACATACAAACACACACACACACACATATATATATATATATATATATATATATATATATATATATATATATATATGTAACTGTAGTGTACATTTTTGATAGGGTTGGTTTTATGATTACGCATATGAGGTATTAAACACTTTTGATATCGTTTTATATATATGGATATTTATATGCATTTAAATATAATAATAAATTATCTCTCTCTATCTATCTATATATATGTTGTATTTATATATTTTAAATATATAATATGTGAATGTGTGTGTGCGCGCGTGTGTGTGTGTGTGTGTTCGCGTTTGATAAAGCTTTCGGGGTCAGGTACAAAGACATACCTGTGTTGAACCTCGAGAGATTTGAACTCGCTATACGGTAGATATGGATGACTAACACCGCTACACCATATTTAGGCGGCCGATGTGCGTTTGTTTTTCTGTGTGGATGTGTGTGTATGTGTCTGTGTGTTTGTGTGTGCACGTGTCATTATGTCGCTAGCAGCTAAATATTCCACTTCATCAGTCTACTACTATTTGCAAGTAGGTGGCACATGTCACTTTCCTTATCTGAAACATCTTGCAGCATTCCCACTGATTGCCAATGCAGTGTCATTTGTGCACAGGTAGAAAAGGTTTCAGTGAGCTATCTTGGAATGAATGTAACTTTTGAAAAAGAA